TACCATCAGTAACCAGAATTTGTCCTCATCATGACAACCGTTCTTCCCACCATAACCGGGAATTCTTTTTTCATCAAACCGGTAGTTTTTTCCTCATCAGTAACGAACTTTTCTTCTTCATCATAACCAGTAATTCCTCCTCTCACTACCAGTAGTTATTCCCATCATTTAAATAGTAGTTCTTCCCTCATCCCTTAACCTATTTTTTTCACCTTTAAAAACCCGTATTTTTTTCCTCATCATAACCAGTATTCTTCCCCCAAAATAACCAGTAGTTCTTACTCATCACAAACCCGCAGATCTTCGCCACTCTAACAACATTTTTTCCACGGGAAACCCCAACTCTTCCCATCAGAACCAGCAGTTCTTCCTTATCAGAAACCAGCAGTTTTTCCCCACATTAACAATAACGCTTCCCCCTTATTAATCAGTAGTTCTTCCCATCGGGAACCAAATTCTTCCCCTCACTAACCAAAATCTTCCTCGTCACAACCAGTTTCTTTCTCATCACTTTCAAGATTCTTCCCAATATCTAACCATATTCTTCCCCATCTCTAACAATGTTCATTTTCATCATTAACCAGTAGTTCCTGCTCGTCGTAACCCTCAAACATCCTGTCATGACAAGCAGTTTTTTCTCATCAGTAACTGTTTTCTTCCTCATCAGCATGACATTTCCTCGCCACACAATCCAGAAGTTCCCCAAGTCCTAAAGAGCATTCTTCCCATCAGAACCATATTTCTTCATCACAACTAGTAGTTCTTCCTCATCAGAAACAGCAATTTTTCCTCATCATAACCAGCAGTTTTTCCTTATCAAAAACCAGCAGTTCTCCCTTTTCAGAAACCAGGAGTTCTTGTCGCAGTAAACCCTAATTCTTTTTTTCCATCACTCACCCGTAGTTTTTTCCCCCTCTAACTACTAGTTTCTCCCTCTCAGTAACAACATTCTTCGTTTAATAGAAACCAAAAGTTTTTTTCCTCACATTAAAAAATAAACCTTTCCCCCTCTCTCCATATCAATCTTCCATTATCCAGCATTTCTTTCCCCATCAATAACCCGCAGTTTCCCCCCACCAGTAACCCAAAATTCTTTCCCCACATTAACCAATAGTTCCCCCCTCACTTTAAAACCCGTAGTTTTTTTTTCTCACAGAACCACGTTCTTCCTCCCAGAACCCCATTCTTCCTCATCACTAATCATAGTTCTTCCTCATCAAAAACCAGTAGATTTCCCCCATAACCGTAGTTCTTCCACACACGAACCAGTATTCTTTCAAAACCTAAAAGTGGGTTTTTCCAACATTAACCAGTAGTTTTCCCCCCAACACTAACCAGTAACTTCCTCCATAACCATTTGTTCTTCCACATCACGAAGCAGTAGTTCTTTTTAAATCTCTAACCAGTATTCTTCCCCCCTTACTAACCAGTAATTCTTCTTCAGCATTACCCCAGTTCTTCCTCTTCATTAATCAGTATTCCCCTCATCGGGAACCTGTAGTTCTTTTACATCATAACGAGCCCATCTTCCCCATCATAACAAAAAATTCTTCCTCATCAGTACCTTTTTTTCTTCCCATTCACAAGCGTTCTTCCCATCAGTATTTAGTAGTTAATCTTCATCAGCAACCATAATTCTTTAGTAACCTAAATTTTCCCCCTCAGTAACAAGTAATTTTTACTCTCACACCAGTAGTTCTTCCCCTCAAAAAACCAGTAGTTCTTCATCAATAAGGAGAATTCTTCCTCATCAATAACCTAGTTTTTCTCCATCGCAAGCATAGTTCTTTGCCATCAGAGAAAAGAAATTCTTTCCACAAAAACCCTCGTTCTTCCTCATCAGCAACTAGTAATTTTTTTCCATCACTAACCCTAGCTTTTATTCATCACAAAAAAGATTCCTTCCGCATATCTTCCATTAGTTCTTCCCATCTTTTTCCATAGTTCTCGCATTAACCCGTAGTTCTTCCCCATCATTTCCATAGTTTTTTTCCTCAGCAGTAACCAATAGTTCTTCCTCATCATTACCATAAATCTTCCTCTCGCTTACCAAAGTTCTTCCTCATCAGAACCAGCATTCTTTTTCATCAGAACCAGTAATTATTCTCATTAGTAACCCCGTAGTTCCCTCACACTAACCCGTATTCCCCTCTTAACCGTTATTTTCCCCTCATCATTAACCATATTCTTCCACACTAACCATAATCTTCCTCACATAACCAGGATTCTTCCAAATCACAACCCCGTAGTCTTCCAAATTTCTAACCATATTCTTCCTCATCACTAAACCAATGGATCTTCTTTATCACTATGCGAGTTCTTCCCCATCAAAAGTAGTAGTTCTTCTCACGCAACTAGTATTCGTTGTTTTTCAAGAAAATATTTTTAACCCATCAAAAACAGCTTTTTTCCCCTCATCATAACTAGTTTTCTCCCTCATCAGTAACAGTAGTTCGTACTCATCACAACAAGCGTTCTTACTCCCCCCTCCATAATCTTACTCAACCTAAACAGTATTACCTCATCACTACCAGTAGTTATTCCCAAAATTTTTTAAACAGTATTTCTTTCCCCATAAACAAGTATTTTTTCACCACTAACAAATATTCTTCAAAACCCCAACCATATTTTTCCCCCATCATAACCATAGTTTTTTCCCAATACCACAGAATTTTTTACCTCACTAACCAGTATTCTTCCCCATTCTAACAACAGCCGCCTCACAGTAACCACAATTCTTTCCCCTTTTAAGCAGTAGTTCTTCCTTATTAGAAACCACAGCCTTCATCATCATTTGCAGTAACTCTTTGCATCATAATCAGATTTTACCATCAGTAACCAAATTCGTCCCCATCAGTGACAACCGTTCTTCCTCATCATAACCGGATTTTTTCCTCATCACTAACCGGTATTTTTTCCTCACTGTAACGAATTTTTTTCTTCACATAACCAGTAATTTTCCTTTTCGCTAGCCCGTATTTTCCTCTCATTAACCATAGTTCTTCCCTACATTAACCAGTACTTTTCACCACTTACCATATTCTTCCTTTTCATTAACCATAGTTTTTCCCTAATGTAACCATAGTTTTTACTCACACTAACCATAGTTCTTCACCACTCAACAGCAGTTCTTCCCACAGAACCACAAAATCTTTTCCCCATCAGGAACCAGCAGTTCTTCCTTTTCAAAACCACAGTTCTCCCCATCATTAAACATAACTTTTCCTATTAAAATCGGAAGTTCCCTTTCCCCATCAGAACCAGATTTTTCTTTTCACTAAACCCAAAAATTTTTCCTCCACAACCGTAGTTCTTACTCATCACTTCAAGTATTTTTCCCAAATCTAACCTGTTCTTCCCCATCTCTAACAATTAGTTTTATTCCACATTAACCTGAGTTCCTCTCATTCTGTAACCACAAAATCTTTCCCCGCAATGACAAGCATTTTTCCTCATCAAAACCCGCAACTCTTCCTCATCAGGAACCAGCAGTTCTTTCCTTTTCAGAAACAGCAGTTCTTCCTCATCATTAAACAGTAACTTTCCTCATTATTAAATCGGAAGTTCTTCCTCAGCACTAACCATAGATCTTCCTCATCAGTAACCAGGGGTTCTTCCACATCACAAACCCGTATACTTCCAAATTACTAACCAGTATTCTTCCTCATCACTAAACCAAAGGATCTTCTTCATCACTAACATAGTTCTTCCCCATCAATAAATAGTAGTTCTTTTACATCGCAACTAGTAGTTCGGTCATCAGAGAAAATTTGTTCTAACCCTCAAAAACAGCTTTTCCTCCTATCATAACAGTTTTTCTCCCCACAAAGCAGAGTTCGCTCATCACAACAAGCAGTTTTTACTCCCCTCTCATAGATCTTACTCAAAACTAAAAATAGTTTTTCCCATCACTTACCAGTAGTTATTCCACTTACTAAAAAAGTTCTTCCTCATCCTAACAAGATTCTTCACCATAACAAGTATTCTTCACCACAAAACCTAGTTCTTCCTCATAAACCCTAGTTTCCTCAAAACCTAGCATTTAATTCTACTCTCACAACCATAGTTTTTCCCCCCTCCAACAACGCTCGTCCCCCACAGTAACCCCAATTCCTCCCATCATAAACAGTATTCTTCCTTATTAGAAACCACAGTCCTTCATCATCTTAAACAGTAACTCTTCGTCATCAGTATCAGTAGTTTTTACCATCATAACCAGAAGTTCGCCTCATCGTGACAAACCGTTCTTCCTCACATAACCCCGGTAATTCTTTCCCATCACTAAACCGGTAGTTCTTCCTCACTTAACGAACTTTTCCCCTTCATCGTAACCAGTAATTCCTTTCCCTTTTCCTAGCCAGTAGTTATTCCTCACATTAACCAGTAGTTTTTCCTCACATTTAAAAAGTATTCTTCACCACTAACCAAGTTTTCCTCACAAAACCAGATTCTTCCCTAAAGTAACCTATTCTTACTCATCACTAACCTTTGTTCTTCACCATCCTAACAAGCATTCTTCCCCCTCAGTAACCACAACCTTCCCATCAGGGAACCCGCATTCTTCCTTTTCAAAACCACAGTTTTTCCCATCATTAACAGTAAAATTTTCCTCATTATTTAAACGGGAAATTCTTCCTCATCGGTAACCCGAATTCTTCTTCATCACAACCAGAAATTTTTCCTCGTCACTCCATAGTTTCACTCTCTTACAATAGTTCTTCCCAATATCTAACCATAGTCTTCCCCCCCCTAACATTAACCAGTAGTTCCTGCCACTGTAACCACACTCTTCCCGTCAGTGACAACAGTTCTTTCCCTCATAACTAGTATTTCTTGCTCATCATATGTAGCATTTCCTCCCCACACAATCCAGAAGTTCATCCCGGTCCTAAAAAAGCATTCTTCCCTACGAATCCAATTTTTTCCACACTAACAAGTAGTTCTTTTCCACTAAACCCTATTCTTCCACAATACCCACAGTATTCTTCCTTAAAACCTAGCTAGTTCTTTCTCATCACTAACCAGTAGTTCTTCCCCATCTCTAACAATCAGTTCGTCCTCATCGGTAACCATCAATTCTTCCTCATCAGTAAGCACTAGTTCTTCCTTATTAGAAACGAGCAGTCCTTCCTCATCATTAAGCAGTAACTCTTCCTCATCAGTAATCAATAGTTATTACTCATCAGTAACCAGAAGTTCGTCCTCATCAGTGACAAGCCGTTCTTCCTCACCAGTAACCGGTAATTCTTCCTCATCACTAACCGGTAGTTCTTCCTCATCAGTAACGAACTTTTCTTCTTCATCAGTAACCAGTAATTCCTCCTCATCACTAGCCAGTAGTTATTCCTCATCATTAACTAGTAGTTCTTCCTCATCATTAACCAGTACTTCTTCACCATTAACCAGTAGTTCTTCCTCATCAGTAACCAGTAGTTCTTCCCCAATAGTAACCAGTAGTTCTTACTCATCACTAACCAGCAGATCTTCGCCATCTCTAACAAGCAGTTCTTCCTCATCGGTAACCAGCAACTCTTCCTCATCAGGAACCAGCAGTTCTTCCTTATCAGAAACCAGCAGTTCTTCCTCATCATTAACAAGTAACGCTTCCTCATTATTAATCAGTAGTTCTTCCTCATCGGTAACCAGAAGTTCTTCCTCATCACTAACCAGAAATTCTTCCTCGTCACTAACCAGTAGTTCTTACTCATCACTTACAAGTAGTTCTTCCCAATATCTAACCAGTAGTTCTTCCCCATCTCTAACAAGTAGTTCATTCTCATCATTAACCAGTAGTTCCTGCTCGTCTGTAACCATCATATCATCCTTGTCAGTGACAAGCAGTTCTTTCTCATCAGTAACTAGTATTTCTTCCTCATCAGCATGCAGCATTTCCTCCCCATCACAATCCAGAAGTTCCTCCAAGTCTCTAAAGAGCAGTTCTTCCCTATCAGTATCCAGTATTTCTTCATCACTAACTAGTAGTTCTTCCTCATCAGTAACCAGCAATTCTTCCTCATCAGTAACCAGCAGTTCTTCCTTATCAAAAACCAGCAGTTCTTCCTTATCAGAAACCAGCAGTTCTTCGTCAGCAGTAACCAGTAATTCTTTTCCATCACTCACCAGTAGTTCTTCCCCATCTCTAACTAGTAGTTCTCCCTCATCAGTAACAAGCAGTTCTTCGTTAATAGAAACCAAGAGTTCTTCCTCATCATTAAACAATAACTCTTCCCCATCTCTAACCAGTAGTCAATCTTCATCATTATCCAACATTTCTTCCTCATCAATAACCAGCAGTTTCCCCTCACCAGTAACCAACAGTTCTTCCTCATCATTAACCAATAGTTCCCCCTCATCATTAACCAGTAGTTCTTTCTCATCAGTAACCAGCAGTTCTTCCTCACCAGTAACCAGCAATTCTTCCTCATCACTAATCAGTAGTTCTTCCTCATCAATAACCAGTAGATCTTCCTCATGCAGTACCAGTATTTCTTCCACATCACTAACCAGTAGTTCTTTCAATCTCTAACTAGTAGTTCTCCCATCACTAACCAGTAGTTTCTTCAACACACACACACAGTTCTTCCTCATCATTAATAAGTAGTTTCCTCCTCCATCGGTAACCTTTTAGTTTCTTCGTCATCAGAAAAGAAGCACATCTTCCCATCAGTAACAAAAATCTTCCTCATCAGTAACCAGTTATCTTCCCATGTGTTCGTAGCAGCAGTCCTTTCTCATCAGTTATCGAGTGTTATTCCTTCTTCAGCAACCAGTTAATTCTTCCTCCTCATAACCAGTATACGTACTCCTCAGCATCCAGTAGTTCTTCCCTCATCACTAAACCAGTATTCTTCCTCCACTCTAAGCAGTAGATCTTCCTCATCAGTAACCAGTAGTTCTGCAACAATCTACGAATCATTAGTTCTCCAATCAATAACCAGTATTTCTCTCTTCCCCATCTAACCATAGTTCTTCATCAATAAGCAGTAATTCTTCCTCATCAATAAGCCTTATTCTTCTCCATCTGCAAGCAGTATTCTTGCCATCAGAGAAAAGTAGTTCTTTCTCACAATAACCAGTCGTTCTTTCCTTCCTCATCAGCAAAAGTAATTCTTTCTCATCACTAACCAGTAGCTTTACTCTCACAAACCAGTAGTTCTTCCGCTTATCTAACCATTATGTCTTCCCCCATCTTTTTCCTACTAGTAGTTTTTTTTTTTTTCTTTTTTTTTTTTTCTTCGTCAATAACCGAAGTTCTTCCTCATCATTAACCAGTAGTTTCTCCTCAGCAGTAAACCACAATAGTTTCTTCCACATCAGTAACCAGTAAATCTTTCCCTCATCTCTAACACAATAGTTCCTTCCTCCCTCAGAAACCAGTATTCTTTCTTCAAGCATTACCCCAGCAGTTCTCCCCATCATTAATCAGTACTCTCTTCAACACTAACCATAGTTTCCTCCTCATCAGTAAACCAGAACACATTCCTTCCCCAATAACACCACTAGTTCTTACTCATCTCTAACCAGTATTCTTCCCCATCACTAACCAGTAGTTCTCTTCAGCATTACCCTGCAGTTCTTCCTCATCATTAATCAGTAGTTCCTCCTCCATTCGTAACCTGTAATTCTTCATCATCAGTAACGAGCCATGCTTCCCCATCAGTAACAAAAAATTTCTTCCCTCATCAGTAGCCAGTTATTCTTCCCATTCACTAAGCAGTTAGTTCTTCCTCATCAGCATCGAGTAGTTATTTTTCATCAGCAACCGTAATTCTTTAGTAACCAGTAGATATTCCTCCTCAGTACCAGTAGTCCTTACCATCAGCATCCAGTTGTTCTTCTCATCCTCCCAGTTTTTCCTCCCCACTAACCGCAGATTTCCTCATCAGAAACCCCAGTAGTTCCCCCACATCTCGAATCATTTGTTCTTAAATCACTAACCAGTGTTTTCCCCCATCACAAACCAAGTTCTTCATCAATAAAGTAATTCTTCCTCTTAATAGCAGTGTTTTTCCCCTTTTTGAAAGCGTTTTTTTTTGCCATCGAGAAAATTTGTTCTTTCTAAACAATAACCAGTGTTTTCCCCAACAGAAACTAGTTTCTTTCTCTCACTAACCAGTACTTTTTTCATCACAAAAAAGTAGTTCTTCCGCCTATCAAAACCATTAGTTTTTCCCCATCTTTACCCAGTAGTTCTTCGTCATTAAAACCCGTAGTTCTTCCCCATCATTAAAACCCGAAATTTTTTTCCCCAGCAGTAACCAGCAGTTCCACACAACCCGAACCGAAATTCGTCATTTGTAACCAGTAGTTCTTCCTCTCACTAACCCGTTTGTTCCTCCTCATTAACCCTTATTTTTTCCCTCATCACTAACCAGGAGTTCCCTTCCCCCATCCAAGCCAGTAGTATTTTCCAAAATTTCTAATCAGTTAAATTTTTTCCCCATCAAATTTAAACCCAATTTGGGTCTTCTTTCCAAATTTACTAAGCAGTAGTTCTTCCTCATCCCCAAAAAGTAGTAGGTTTTTCTTTCAAACTGCAACTAGTAGTTCGTTTGCCATCGAGAAAAATAGTTCTAACCCATCAGAAAACCCGCCTTTCCTACTCCCTCAGTTCTATAGTTTTCCCCATCATAAGCAGTATTTTAAAAACCAAAACACTAACAAAACATTTTACTCCCCCTCGGGGAAAAGATCTTCTCAACACAAAAAAGTAGTTTTCCCTTTCCCCTTACCGTAGTTATTCCACTTATTAACCCCGTAGTTTCTTCCCCATCCTAACAAGTTTGTTCTTACACCACTAACCAGTAGGGTTTTTCCCCATCCCGTAACCGTAGTTTTTTCCTCAATAATAGCAGTAGTTTTACTCATCATAAAACCAGAAATTTCTTCCCCATCTCTAAAATCGTTCGTCCTCCCTTTAGTAACCACCAATTCCCTTCCCCATCAGCAAGCATTGTCCTTCCTTTTTAGAAACCAGCAGTCCTTCCTCATCCCTTAAACAGTAACTCTTCCTCATCGTAATTTAGTAGTTATTACTCATCAGTAAAACCCGAAGTTCGTCCCCCCCTCAGTGACAACCGGGTTTTTCCTCATCAGGAAACCGTTTAAATTTTTCCTCATCGCTTTGCCAGTAGTTTTTCCCCATCAATTTAAACCAATAGTTTTTCCTCATCATTAACCATTTTTCTTCACCCCCTAACCAGTAGTTTTCCTCAACAGTAACCAGTAGTTCTTCCCCAATTGTAACCCGTATTGTTACTCATCACTTTAACCCCCAAAATAGTTTTCAACCATCTTAACAAGCATTCTTCCTTTATAACCACAACTATTCCTCATAAAACCAGCAGTTCTTCCTTTTCAGAAACCCAAACAGTTTTTTCCCCAACCCTTAACCCGTAACTTTCCTTTATTTTTAATTCCCGGGAAATTCTTCCAAAAAGGGGGGGGGCCAAAAAGTTTTTTCTTCATCCCCTAACCCCAAAAAATTCCCCCTCGTCACTAACCCGTAGTTCTTACTCAACACTTACAAGTAGTTCCCTTTCCCCAAAAATCTAGCCAGTAGTTCTTCCCCATCTCTAACAAGTAGTTTAAATTTTCATAATTTAAAATAGTTCCTGCTCATCTGTTTAAACCCTTTTATCTTTTCTTTAGTGACAAGCAGTTTTCCCCATTAGTTTAAATTTATTTCCCCCCTCATCATATGAGCATTTTCCCCCCCTCACAAACCAAAATTCCTCCAAGTCTCAAAAACAATTTTTCCTTCATATCCAGTTATCTTCATCACTAGCTAGTATTTTTTTCCCCATCAGTAACCAGCAATTCTTCCTCATCAGTAACCAGCAGTTCTTCCTTATCAAAACCAGCAGTTCTTCCTTATCAGAAACCAGCAGTTCTTCGTCAGCAGTAACCAGTAATTCTTCTTCATCACTCACCGATTTTCTTCCCCATTCCTAACTAGCAGTTCTCCCTCATCATTAACAAGCAAGTTCTTCGTTAATAGTAACCAGGAGTTCTTCCTCATCATTAAACCAATAACTCTTCCCCATCTCTAACCAGTAGTTCTTTCTTCATCATTAACCAGCAGTTCTTCCTCATCATTAACTGCAGTTCCCCCTCTCCAGTAACCAACAGTTCTTCCTCATCATTAACCAATAGTTCCGCCTCATCATTAAACATTTAGTTCTCCTCATCAGTAACCAGGAGTTCTTCCTCAACAGAAACCCAGCAATTCTTCCTCATCACTAATCAGTAGTTCTTCCTCACCAATAGCCAGAAAATCTTCCTCATCAGTACCAGTAGTTTTTCACATCACGAACCAGTTAATTCTTTCAAAATCTCTAACCAGTAGTTCTTTCCCACCCACAAACCCAGCGTTCTTCTTCAGCATTACCCAGCAGTTCTTCCTCATCTTTAAATCAGTAGTTCCTCTTCATCGGTAACCTGTAGCTCTTCATCATCTGTAACGAGCACATCTTCTTCATCAGTAACAAGAAATTTTTCCCTTTATCATTCAACCAGTTATTCTTCCCATTCACTAAGCAGTAGTTATTCCTCATCAGTATCGAGTGTTATTCTTCATCAGCAACCTTTAATTCTTCTTCATTAGTAACTAGTAGTTATTCCTCCCCAGTAACCGTAGTCCTTACTCATCAGCATCCAGTAGTTC